AGGGTTTGTGGCTGGGTTGGTGTTTTTGTTTCTCTTTTGGAGAGCACGTGGAGTATGTTTTTGTGAATTAGTTTGTATTCAGCTACTTTGCTGAAGTATTCAGCTGTAGGAGTTTCTCGGTGAAATTTTTATGGTCACTTGTATGTATACTAACTACTATATCATCTGCAAATAAAGATACTTTTACTTCTTTCAGATTTGTATCTCCTCCATCTCCTTTAGTTGTCTTATTGTTCTGAGACATCAAATACTATATTGAATAAAAATGGAGAAAGTAGACAACCTTATCTTCTTTCTGATTTCAGTGGAATTGCTTTGAGTTTCTCTCTATTTAAGTTGATGTTGTCTATGGGCTTGCTGTAAATTGCCTTTATTTTGTTTAGGTATGCCTCTTTTATCCCTAATCTCTCTAGTGCTTTTACTGTAAAAGGTATTAAATTTTGCCAAAGGCTTTTTCAGCATCTAATGAGATGATCATGTGATTTTTGTCTTTCAGTTTGTTTATATGGTAGATTACATTTATCGATTTGCGTATGTTGAACCATCCCTACATCTCTGGGATGAAGCCTACTTGATCATACGGGATGATCTTTTTGGTGTGTTCTTAGATTCGGTTTGCAAGTATTTTATTGAGAATTTTTGTGGGCTGGAGAGATGGCTCAGCAGTTAAGAGCGCCGAATGCTCTTCCAGAGGTCCTGAGTTCAATTCCCAGCAACCACATGGTGGCTCACAACCATCCGTTATAAGATCTGGTGCTCTCTTCTGGTGTGCAGATATACATGGAAGCAGAATGTTATATACATAATAAATAAAATCTTTTAAAAAAATAGTTAATAATACTCTACTCAGGGCATGGCAATTTGCCCAGGTGTACTTGGAGATTTTCTTTGCCGGGCGTTGGTGGCACACACCTTTAATACAGCACTCGGGAGGCAGAGGCAGGTGGATCTCTGTGAGTTCGAGGCCAGCCTGGTCTCCAGAGCGAGTGCCAGGATAGGCTCCAAAGCTACACAGAGAAACCCTGTCTCGAAAAACCAAAAAAGAAGAAGAAGAAGAAGAAGAAGAAGAAGAAGAAGAAGAAGAAGAAGAAGAAGAAGAAGAAGAAGAAGAAGAAAGAGAATTTTTGCATCTATGCTTATAAGGGAAATTGGTCTACAATTCTTTCTTTGTTGGATTTTTATGTGGTTTGGGTATCAGGGTAATTGGTCTCAAAAAGAAATGGACGATGTTCTTTTATTTCTATTTCATGGAACAATTCGAGGAGTTGTTTGAAAGTCTTGTAGAATTCTGCACTAAAACCATCAGGTCCTGGGCTTTTATTTTGGATGAAAGGTTGGAAGACTTAATTTCTATTTCACTAGGGGTTATAGATCTGTTTAAATTGTTTATGTGACCTTGAATTAACTTTTGTAAGTGGTATCTGTTAAGAAAATTATCCATTTTCTAATATGGTGGAGTATAGGTTTTTAAAGTATGTCCTTATGATTCTTTGGATTTCCTCAATGTCTGTTGTTATATTTCCCTTTTCATTTCTAATTTGGTTTGTTGAGATATTCTCTCCATCTTTTAGCTACTTTGAACAGGGGTTTGTCAATCTTACTGATTTTTTTCTCAAAAAGCTATATGTTTCATTGGTTCTGTGCTTTTTTCTGTTTCTATTTATTGATTTCAGCCTCGATTTGATTATTTCTTGCAATCTTGCTTTTGGGTGTAATTTATGTTCTAGAGCTTTTTGGTGTGCTAGTGACTAGTATGAACTCTCCATTTTTTTATGTAGGGACTTAGTGCTATGAAATTGCTTTTAGAACTGCTTTCAGTCTGACCTATGAGTTTGGGTATATCGTGTATCCTGTTTTGTTAGATTCTAGAAAGTCCTTCATTTGTGTCTTGACCCGTTTTTCCATTCAGTAGTGAGGTGTTCAGTTTCCATGAGTTTCTGAACCTTTTGTTTTTCTGATATCCAGCTTTAATCCATGGTGATCAGATAGAATGCAGAGTGTTATTTCAATTTTTTTGTATCTTTTGAGATTTTCTTATGCATGAATATGTGGTCAGTTTTAGAGAAAATTCTTTGTGAGAGTCAATATGTGATTTAAGCTGTGGTAGTGTTTCTTTTATGAACTTGACACTTGTGTTTGGTGCATAAATGTTGAGAATTGCTGTGTCCTTGGTGGATTTTTTTTCCTTTGACTATGCAGTGCCGTTCCCTATCTCTTCGATTAACTTTGGTTTGAAGTCTATTTTGTCAGATATTAAAATGGCTATCCCAGCTTGCTTCTTAGTTCCATTTGCTTTGAATATCTTCTTCCATCCTTTTGCAATAGGTAATGTCTTTTCTTGATGTTAAGGTGTGTTTTTTGGATGCAGCAGAAGCATGCATTTTCCTATTTTTGCATCTATTCTGCTAGTCTGTATCTTTTACTGGAGAATTGAGACCATTGATGTTGAAAGATATCAGTGAGAAGTGTTCGTTGATTTTCTGTTATTTTGTTGTTTGTGGTGATGGTGTGTGTGTGTGTGTGTGTGTGTGTGTGTGTGTGTTTGAATTTGATGATCTGGGACTACTTATTTGTGTTTTCTTGGGTGTGGTTAACCTTTAGGTTGGTGTTTCCTTTATAGCATCTTCTGTAGGGCTATATTTGTAGGTAGATTTGGATTTATTATGCAATGTCTTATTTTCTCCATCTAATGTGATTGATAGTTTTGCTGGGCATAGTGGTTTGGGCTGGCATCTGTAGTCTCTTTAGAGTCTGTAGAACATCTGTCTAGAGCCTTCTGGCTTTTAGAGTCTCCATTGAGACTCTTTTTAAAAAGCTGTCATTCTAATATGTCTGCCTTTATATGTTACTTGGTCTTTTTCCCTTGCAGCATTTAATATTCTTTCCTTGTTCTCTACATTTAATGTTTTGATTATTATATGCCAAAGGGAATTTCTTTTCTGGCCCTGTCTATTTGTGTTCTGTATGCTTCTTAATACACATCTCCTTCTTTAGGTTAGTGAAATTTCGATCCATGATTTTGTTGAAGATATGTTTCTAGATATTGGGATCTGACACTTAAGAATGGGGATGGACAAAGCGGATAGCAGAGGGATCCCACAGGAGGGATGAAAGCCGGGTATACCATCAAGTTCTGCTTAATTCCCCTGGAATGGTGGCAGAGAATGCATAGAGGCCTGTTAGAGGCCCTCAGGTGATCTGATACAGAGCTGGGGCATTCAACTTGGAGGAATGGAGGGAGAGGTGAAGATTTGTAGCTAGCCCATCTTTCCTGGACAAAGTGTCCCCCCACACCAGTTTTTAAAGAATTCAAGTATCCTATTTGTTAGTAGTTGTCTTTTCTCCTTTTAGTTCAGATGTGCAGAAAAGGAAGTAGTTGGAATGCTTAGGTTGCTTGTGTCTAATAAGGATTCTCATATCCAGACAATTGCTTCATCATTTACACAGTTTTATCAGAGTTAGAAAACTTGTAATTCGCCAGGCATTGTGGCACACACCTTTAATCCCAGCACTCGGGAGGCAGAGGCAAGCGGATCTCTGTGAGTGCAAGGCCAGCCTGAACTCCAGAGCGAGTGCCAGGATAGGCTCCAAAGCTACACAGAGAAACCCTGTCTTGAAAAACCAAAAGAAAGAAAGAAAAAGAAAAACTTGTAATTCCCGAAATATTGAGAGTTCATAGCCAGTCTGGGCTATATCCTGAGACCCTGTCTCAAAAACAAAGTAGCAAAAAAATTAGGATGTCAAATAATTTGAGAAAAGCGGTTTTTCCCTAGATTTCCAACATGTTTTCATAGAGAATGGTTCTTAACTTTCCTAATGCTGTGACCTTTTAATACAGTTCCTCATCATGGTACCTCTAACCATAAAATTATTTTGGTGCTACTTCATAATTATAATATTGCTACTTTACGAATCATAATGTAAATATGTAATATGTGGGATATTTGATTTATGATCCCTACAGTGGTCATGGCCCACAGGTTAAGAACCATTGTCATAGAATATTTCATTTCCATAAGCCTATAGCAACTCTACTTTTTATGTTACTGTTTACTATTTTTTTTCTATGAAGAGATTAAAAAGAAAGATTTTTTTGTAGTTTTATAGAATAGTTTTGTTCTTTTTACCTGTACTAGCTTCAGAGAGGGAACCTCAACTGAGAAAATTCCCATTCCAGATAGGCCTATGAGCAAACCTGTGTGGTGCATTTTCTTGACTAATGATTTATGTGGGTGGGCTCATCCCATAGGTGATGATGTCACCACTGGGTGTTATAAGAAAGCAGCAGGCTGAACAAACCTTGAGGCCCAAGCCAGAAAGCAGCATTCCTCCAAGGCCTTTCTTATCAGTTGTTGCCTCCAGGTTCCTGCCCTGCTTGAATTCCTGCCCTGACTTCCCTCAATGATGGAGTACAAGTTGTAAGATGAAATGAACCCTTCCCTCTCTGAGTTGCTTTTGGTCACAGTATTTTATCAACAGCAATAGTAACTGTAACATGGATATTACCTTCTTGTGATGGGAAATTTTAAAATTCTGAATTTAAATATGATTTCTTAGTAATTAGAAATTTATGTTCAGACAGGGACAAGAGATAACAATCTAAAATATTACAGAGTATCCTGTCAGGCCCAAATTGACTTCTAGGGTAGTGTATCCAATTCCTTAAACTAATCAGATACTAAAATCTAGGTTTAACTTAATCTGTTATCTGATAGTTTTCCTTTCAGAGCTCAAGTAATGTTATTGAGAACCATGAGAAAAGCACTCCAATCAGGTGGTCCATAATGCAACTTCCAGACATCTAGAGGTGTGAAGTGTGGCATGAGAATTGGGCATGGATGGACTTGATTTTTGAGTAACAGGAACTTGAGTCATAAAATCTTTTCACCATTAAGGGGAATAAATATATTTCTATCTTGGTTGTGTATGTCTATTTTAGACAGTTTTCCATTATCTTAATGTATTTCATTTTAGTAATGAGTTTTTAAATATTCTTGTAGATATTTTGAACAGATGTAGTCCTGGCTCTTCTTCAAAGGGACTAAGGAGTGACTCATTCAGTCCAGGTACAGTATTACTATACTATCTTCATACTAAATATTTGCTTAAACACCTGATGTAAGTGCTAAGAACTGATCATGATCCACTGTAAGAGCAGTGGTTGTGCTTAATGGCTAAGCCTTTATTATTTTAATTTTAAACTCAACTATTTGAAACAATTGTATACCAATTTATTCATTATATTTTTGTTTTTATATGTATAGCTTTTGCTAATATATTCAAACCTACAAGTCAACAGTACAGAAATCCATCACCTAATCCAGTGACTGCTTTGCCTAAATTTCATACTGAATCCAGGTCTTCAGAAAGTTCTGGTTTTCATGCTGTTTCTAAACCTGTAAGTATTATTCAGCATCACAGTCAGTTCAGGAATACAGTGGATTGTATATATCCAGCTAGAATTAAGAATGGTTATAGCTAACTACCATAATTACTCAAAAAAATGCCACTGTCTTTAGGTTTTCTTATTTGTTTGTTTTTCCCAGACAGGGTCTCACTATGTAGCTCTAACTGTTCTGGAAATCACTATGTAGACCAGGCTGACCTCAAACTCAGAGATAGCCACCACACTCGGCTTCATTTTAAAACTAAAATCATTTCATTGTATTAAAAAGGACACTATTATGCTGACACAATTATATAGTAATAAAGTAAATATTGTGATTTTTATATACAGATGTTCCTGATATATTAAAATCAACACTACAAATCCAATGGCTACCTTACCTAGAATTTTTGTACCAAAGTCATGACTCTCTCCCTTTGCCCTTCCCATACCCAGTAACCCATATTCCACCCCTAGTATTTGACAAAGAAGCCAAAAACACACACTGGAGAAAAGGCAGCATCTTCAACCAGTGGTTATGGAAAACTGGGTGTCCACATGTAGATGATTGAAATTAGACCCATGTCTATCACCGTGCACAAAAATTAACTCAAAGTGGATCAAAGACCTCAGTTTACAACATGAATCATGGAAACTGCCAGAAGAGAACATAGGCAGTATCCTATGTGATACAGGTATAGGAAAGGACTTTCAGAATTGACAAGGGGGATCTCTTAAAACTAAAAAGCTACTGTACATCTAAAGAAACAATCAAGTAAGGAGGAAACACAGGAAATCACATTTTTAAGAGTAAATGTAGGTGTTTTTAATTGGGACTATTATTCACAAATCATGACTGTTTATTCTCAGACCCCTTGTTTAGTTCTTAAACATTTTAAGCCAGCATGGTTGTTAACATGCCTGTAGTCCTAGTACTTGGGAACATTGAGGGCAAGTGGATTGTGAGTTTGAGACTAGTCTCCTAATAAGTTCCAGACTGGACTGGACTATATAGTGTGACTGTGTCTCACAAAATAAAATAACCCCCCAGTAGAGCAATAACAAAAGACTTTTAATAGAAGTAAGAAATAGTGGTAATGCCTAGCATTTTATATGTACAAATGTAAATCTTACACAAT